ACACACACACACCCCTCTCAGGTGCTCTTGGGGACTTCCCCTTTTAAAACGTTCTTTGCGTCCCCTTACATCTGATCTTATGTCAGTTGACAGTTGGGGTTGGGGTTGGGGTGCAGCAGTGCCTGTATGATGACCTTGCCTCTATGACCCTGGTTCTCAGACATCTTTTAGGGGCATCCCAAACTTAAGGCAAGGTGTATAAAGCTTATTTTTTAACAGCTTTAAAGTGCTAATTTCTGTTTTACCTATTTAAAAGCCACGGACGATAGAGTAATACAAAACTACTTCTTGCTAACAGGGACCAAAGAGTAAAATGCTAGTAGACATGAGAAAACTGATATATGAAAGTCATGGTCATCAATCAAATCTTTCATTTGATAAGTATTTTTAATTTCATTCCTCACCAACTCTAATAATCTGTTAAGCTAACATCCATTAAATGAAAGCGTCTATTACATTTCACCTCTGTTATTGGCTCCACTCTTTTTCCTGTCTACTTTTTTGAGTATCAGGTAGAGATCAAAGAGTCAAATGAAGGAAGAGAAAGAATTTATTGAGATATGGAAAACCCACACATGAATTAAGTCTGTGAAAAACAGTGAGTTATTAATAAATTTAAAAAATTTTAAAAACCCAGTTAATAATAAACACTTTGTTATAGCCTCAATCTAAAAATTGAAACACAGTGGGGACAGAATAGCTCACTGGTAGAGGGCATGCTTAGCTTGCACAAGGTCCTGGGTTCAATCCCCAGTACCTCCATTGAAAACAACAACAACAACAAATAAACAAATAAATAAACCTAATTACCCATCCCCCAAAAACAAACAAAAAAAATAAAATAAATACAAATTAAATTATGAATACTATGTCATATTGTGTAATGTTCTTAAAAAGTCAGCCTCCTAATATTTAGTAGAATAAATGAATTTTTAAAAAGACATTATAAATGACGCCATGTCTAGAATTCTGTCTAGTCTTTGAAAAGCAAAACCATGTCTCTCATCTCTCAAAAAAGCCTGGAATACACAACCAAAGTCAGGAGTTCATCACTAAGATTTTTGTCACTGAAAACAGGATTTAACCCCTTTCTAATTCGTGGTTAAAATTAAAAAGAAACAGGAAAGTAATAATAGTGACACAGCAAACTGAATATGTGATAACAAAATTACCCAGTAAAGGGGAAAGACTCTGCTTTTATGGTCTAACCATAAAAGATTTATTGACACAGCCCAGTTGCTCTGCAAAAGCGAGAAAATTACTAATGTTTCTGTGCTGAGGAACTACCTCTTGCCCCAGTCTGCCTGAAAATCCTTCTCCTGGGCCTCAGTCTCCTATCAACAAAATGAGAGGACTGGAGCAGAAGTCCCTTTCGGTATTCTCTGATTCTTTGTCACTGGTGGTTTGTTTTGTTTTGTGTTGTTTCAATGCTTTTTGCCATCTAACAAACTCACGTTGAGTTCAGGTTTGTAGAGGCATAACTCTTACCATAGAAACTTGTTTCACTTGTTTATATTCAGCTTCATCTCGATATCCTGCTTGTTGAAATCTGTACAGATTTTCTATCTCTTCTGACCACTTTTTGGCATGACTTACTGATTTTGGTTTCACGTCACAACTAGCCATGGCTACTGAGGTCTTATTACCACTTATTCCTGAAAGATGTTAAAACAACATTAATAGATAACATAACAGTGACAGTTTCAAAAGGCCCTTTAAAAACAAACAAAGCCAGCATTTAAAAAAAATTAAAGTTGAGAATCTCATTAAATATAATCACATTTTAAACATTCAATTCCAAGATGGAGAAGGATTCATGCTCTATTGTGGAAATAAAATAAAATAAAACCTGAAAGTGATATAGAAAATTGCTTACTTCTTCATCAAATTTGGAGTTATGGACTGATACCTAAGCACTGCATACTAATTCTGGGATTTCAGGAGTTGACACGTTTCTGAAATCACACTCTTATTTGTAACTGCTCAGTAGATTGTCAAAATATCCCACCACTATTTCATCATCATCAGAATGTTGTCTTTTTTTTTTTCCCTAAAAAGGGGAATTTAAAATCAGTCTTCTCACTGTCTTCCTTTCCTTCTTGCTGTGAAGCAATGGTTTTCCTTTTTGCCTTTTCTTAACTGCTTGGAGACATGCAATCATTGCAGGTCATGAACTGGGATCACTGTGGTCCAAGGTGAGGAGATGGGCTAATGATGCAATCAGTGGAAACTGGCTGTTGTGATCCTGAGTCACTGATTTTAAAACAATGTAGTCCTTGAAATTCAATTTTCAGCTCTACTTCATGTAACCTGTACAGCCAGTTTTTCGAAGACATAATCTAGCACTTGTTTTCTCGGACTTCTTCTTTTATTGCCAAACTATATCACTCATTTAACATTTATTATTATATATTATTATATTTTACATATTATATATAATACATAACATGTTTATATTATATATCTTATATTATATAATTATTACACATTAATATATATTATAGTCATTTATTAAAATAAAGTGCCCAGAATTTTCACCATGATCCCTTGAATTCATTCTTCTATTTAAATATGTTTCTATAGGCTGAAATACATTAAAATCGGACCTCACAAAGTAGACCCTGTAAATGAATTCATATTTTTTAATGTTTTCAATTATAATGACAAATGCTTATTATGTTAAAGAAGTCAAGCAAAGCATTAAAGTACAAATAGGAAAAGGCAAAATAATCGTCACATCAATTAGAAATATCCATCCTTAACATCCGGTGAACACCACCCCAACCAAATGATGAGTTTGGAGAACAGACTTAAAAGTTTTACGAAAAAGGAACCATAATAAATGCTTTTGCAACAGTAATAAATTTAGCTTTACCTAGATTTACCAGGAGAAAAAAATAGGAGATGGAAATAAAATTGACAGAATTTCAGAAAAATGTTTCTTCAAGATGAGAGATGTAGCCTCCAAATTCCCTAAATATTAATTAAAAAAAAAGATAATGGAGACTGTTAGGAGGCTCAGAGTCATTTGTTTCAAGTCTATGTGTAAATCTGATTTACTTAGTTCTATGAAAAATAAGGTCCTATGCTGCCTCCTACCTCCTCTAGGTTTTTGTTTCATTACTTAAGCAACATTCTAAGGGTTATCGCATTTACAGTTCTATTTGGAAATCATGATTTCCACAGTAGTTTGGACTTAGCTCCATATTTAAATGAAGTTACTTGAGTCATACAGCTCTCACTCTGATGACAATAGCAATTACCTGAATGGATTTCCCATTGTTTGCATTTCTCCCACGTGCATGCCAACATATATATTGACTAGACCGAAGTAAATTAAGGTATTGTTAATATTTGACTTTTTTAAAACTTTGATGCTTATTTATTCATTTAAGTTGAGGCTCATGTTGCATTTTAAGGCAATATGTCATTATACTATTGCATAAATTTATGTAAAATTTGGAATACCTGACAAAACAATACATAAGCCACATTTCAGTGAAAGCTTTGTCTTCCAGTTTCATCGATTTTAATGGAAGTTTCACTGCTTCACTGCTGCACAATATACTAATTATGACCAATGAGTGAGTTGGATGTATGTGGTACAGCCTGATAATCCATTAACATATATAATTATACATTATATATATATATACATATTCCACAGAAAAAAAATGACATGGAGAAACATGAAAGAAGAAAGCGCAAATTTACTATATTAAAAATAGTTTTAAAATCAGCCATGTTTTTATGTGAATTTAATGGATGTAGTACTTAATACTGCTTTTCCAATTTTCTAAGAGCAGTGGTATAATCTTAACTTTTGTTTTACTGAAGCCATTTCTGCTTTAGGCTTGGCTTTTTGATATATAATAAAATACTTTTATTTACTCATATTCATTCAAAGAGTATGTTCGTGAATGTTACCTATGTAACCTTTTGTCACTTTCAAACAAAACAATCATGTCAACTATAAATATAAAAATGCTACATTTAATAGAGCAGAAAATATTCTGCATTCAGTTGAACTGAATGGGGAAATCGCCATTTTTCTCAGGAGAAATATGCATACTCTAGGCACATCAGGCATTTCAAAACTCTCCCAAAATACCTAAAGGAACATGAATGCATTTTCACCCTTTTAGGAACCCTAGTGGCTATACTATCTGGTGGTGACGCAAATTCCACCCCCCTGTTTTTTATTTTGGTCTCTCTTACAACTTACTATTGATTAAAAACAGAATGAAACTAAAAATAGGAAAGATCAACTCAAAATTTCTTGGTTAAGTATTTCAGTGATTTGAGGAAATTCAGTGGCAGCACTGTTTCTGCTAGTAACCTTCAGGACTTTGAAATGTAGTTATTTCTTTAATGATAGTTGTGGCAAAAAAATTAATATAAAATATATTTGACCTCTGTACTCCTAAGCTGTATTTGTAACAAAAAGAAATGGCAATGCCTTACTCTCTAATTTGCAGAAATCAAATTTTATTAAACAGTATTAGGGTTTATATGGGTATTAAAAAATCCCACCAGTATCAAATTCCTGAGAGTCTGAGGTTCTAATCTAACAGAAGATGTAACCTGCCATCTCAAACGCCCTTCTATGCAAAAATTTGTCACCTTCTTCTCTCTCTGAAAAGTACCTTTACTTTTATAGTGGTATTAAAACCCCAAGGGTATCAGTATGCCTAGTCTCCCATTTCTTTCCCCATTTAATTTTTTTCTGTTCCTAGGCACAGCAGGGTATGGCAGAGAAGCACTTTAACTAGCAGGTAACCCGGGTCTCCGTTTCCTGAACTGTGAAAAGGTCTCATTAGACAGTCTAAAGTTCTCACACTTCCCTTCCCAAAGATTTTGGGTGTTTAGCTGAAAAACAAAATTGGTTCCCAAAATAGGCCTTTGTGGTCCACGGTCCAGGTGTGTCGGTCGGCATCTGTGCAGCATAAACCACTCCTTTCTGGGACCCCACAAGTTGATTAACAAGGCTTCTCCGGTCCATCAAACTTTTTTTTTTCCCTGCCAGAAATCATCAATCGCGCCTGCAAGGTAAAGTCCTCTTAGAGAAGGCTGAGATGCACAAAGTGTACCTAAAAACGGGTCAA